ATGCACGAAGCATCCTTTGAGCGGGCTGCAAGCATTAAGCAGTGGGAGGCAGGAGAGGAGAGGGAGCTCGCATGCAGCCAAGTGTTCTTCTGACAGTGGATATGATATCAGCGCGGGGACCTAAAACAAGGATGGTGTCTAACAGTGCTGAGCAGAATTCACGAGACGCAAATCATATGGTTCTGCGCCTGGTACTCACCAGGGACGCAGCCGAAGAATCGGAAGCGAAGTACGCGCGGACCTATGGAGCGTAGCTTCTGGAATGAAACTGACTGGGTGAAACATGTTTGAAGCCGCGTGCTTGGTGCAATTTCTGGGTACCGCTCGTGGGGTGGAATATACGGTGCAATTAAGCGTGGAGCATCTTATGAGTGCAATCTTGTTGCTTGCGACAAACCCAGCGGCCATGCCAGCGCACCATCCAAATGTATGCAGGATCTTAGAACGAGATCTCCCGAACGGATTTGCTGTCACCATCTCGAGGCATACGATGTTGCAGCTTGATGTGGCCGTAGTGGTGCATGGCTGTTGCGTTTTCTGTTGGGCGGTCGTTGGAGGCTCATTGGGAGATTATTTCGAGCCTCTTGTGGGCCTATCGGGGGCCGTCTCGGGGGCGTCGGGGAGGGGAGGGAAGGGGAGGGGCGGCGTACCTCGGGGTTGTGGGTGGCCCCTGGGACCTTGTGCGTGAGGGCTCATTTTGCGGGCGTGTGGTCGTGCCTTGGGGCCGTCATGGATCCTTCTTGGGGCCGTCGTAGCCCGTCTTGAGTGGTTCCCTGACCGCAGTGAAGTTGTTTCGGGGCCGTCTTGGAGCGTTTTGCGACCTCCTGGATCCGTCGTGGGGCTATTTTGTCCGAGGTCATTTGAGGCCAAAGTACAGGGGAAGCAAAAGCACTGACAAGGTGCCGCATGTTTGATGTGGTTTGCTTCATAGGTTATGCCTGGAGGGCTCTTCGGGTGCCTCTTGGAGTCTTTTCGGGACCTGGTAAGATCTCTTGGGGCATCTGGGGAGACGTTCGGCCACCGTAGGCTGGCATTGGGGCAACTTGACGACATCTTGGGCATGTCTTGGAGCCGAGATGGGCGTTGGAAAGCAAAGCGTGGGGGCGTGATTGTGTCATGCCGGTATACGTAGGTAGTGTTCGTTTTGTCGATATTGTTGGACAGTTGACAGGCATTCTCTCGCACACCCAAAGGTGCCGACGGAGAGCACAGTCGGATTTGCGGGTGCAGCTGAAGCGGCGCAGAGTCGTGGGGTCGAGCCTCCAAGAAGCGATGTGTGGGATGCGGTGTGCGGGGTGACGCTTGCGATGTGCAACTCGTGAGGTGCAATCTATAGATATATATATATATATATATATATATATATCACTGGGGTGCGGGACCCCATGCCCAGGGCACCATCGGCGACAGCGGCTGGATCCCCCGCCCTCACGCTCAAGGGACCCCAGACGCGGGGCCGTATGTTTGGGATTTTCTCGGGGAGAACGAGCGGAATCCCGCAGTCAGGCCCACAGACCCTCATGAGCGGGACCGTCTGCCCACATCCAGACGATCGGGAACGTTGGCCTAGCGTGTCGCGCCGCCAGTTCTGGCCCACCACGCTGCGGCGCGACACGCTGTCCACGTCCCAGCCCGCGGGCGCCAACGTCCCTGAGTGCATCCCATGCCCCAGGCCCACGGAGCGGAGCGACACGCTATCGGGGCCGCCGCCGCGACACGCTAAGCAAATGTTCCCGACCGTATCGGCGACGATGGCCAAATCCCCGCAGGGACCTCGAAGGGTTTCGTTCTCGAGGGGTCGAGGGGTTGACGCATCTTCCTCGGCCGAAGGCGGCGGATGTAAAACGAGGGCTGCCACGCTGTGGGAAGACGACGGAAAACGGGTGGCAAATTGCGGATGTAAAAGATGAGCCCCCATGAGGTGGCAACGTTTTTGAGCTCAGGGTTTCCGCGCCCAGCCGTGCGCCAGGGACCTCATGGGCGGCAGAGGCCAGACGTTTGCCGACAGGACCGTTCCAGTCGGCTGCAGTGAGAGCCTTTTTCCCTGGTTGGGTACTCGTTTTTCCCTACCCTCCGATGGTTGGGCACTCGTTTTGAATAGAGCAGTGTGGTCGCCCCGTCCTCCTCCTCCTCCTCCTCCTCCTCCTCCTCCCCTCTCCTCCCCTCCTCCTCTCCTGTTGCCTGTGTTCCCCTCTCCTCTTCTCTCGTGCCGTCGGGCTGCGCTCTGCGCAACTGTCGCCACTTTCGTGGGCTCCTGGGATGCCCAGCGGAGGTGGGTCCCACGCGGATCACCTCGGTACCTCGCCAACCCCTGGGGGGCTTGCGATCTGCGCAATTGTCGCCACTTTCGTGGGCTCCTGGGAGGCCCAGCGGAGGTGGGTCCCACGCGGATCACCTCGGTACCTCGCCGCCCCCTGGGGGGCTGCGATCTGCGCAATTGTCGCCACTTTCGTGGGCTCCTGGGAGGCCCAGCGGAGGTGGGTCCCACGCGGATCACCTCGGGACCTCGCCGCCCCCTCGGGGATTCGCGATTTGCGCGCAATTGTCGCCACTTTCGTGGACTCTTGGGAGGCCCAGCGGAGGTGGGTCCCACGCGGATCACCTCCGTACTTCGCCGCCCTTTGGGAGGCTTGCGATCTGCGCAATTGTCGCCACTTTCGTGGGCTCCTGGGAGGCCCAGCGGAGATGGGTCCCACGCGGATCACCTCGGTACCTCGCCGCCCATTTGGGGTCTTGCGATCTGCGCAATTGTCGCCACTTTCGTGGGCTCTTGGGAGGCCCAGCGGAGGTGGGTCCCACGCGTCGGGCGGCGATCTGCGCAATTGTCGCTACTTTCGTGGGCTCCTGGGAGGCCCAACGGAGGTGGGTCCCACGCGGGTCACCTCCCTACGTCGCCGCCCCTTGGGGGTCCTGCGATATGCGCAATTGTCGCCACGTTCGTGGGCTCCTGGGAGGCCCAGCGGAGGTGGGTCCCACGCGGATCACCTCGGTACCTCGCCGCCCCTTGGGGGGGCTTGCGATCTGCGCAATTATCGCCATTTTCGTGGGCTCTTGGGAGGCCTGGCGGCGGCGCGTCCCACGCGGACCACCTCGGTACTTCGCCGCCACTTTGGCGGCCTTGCGATCTGCGCAATTGTCGCCACTTTCGTGGGTTCATGGGATGCCCAGCGGAGGTACGTCCCACGCGGATCACCACGTGACCTCGCCGCCCCTGGGGGGCTTGCGATCTGCGCAATTGTCGCCACGTTCGTGGATTCCTGGGAGGCCCAGCGGAGGTACGTCATACTCGGACCACCACAAGTGCCCCGTGTGTGTCCGTTTTGTATGTTCGCCATTGCTCTTCTTGTTGCGCTCTTCTGAAATCGTTGTTGGGTGCTCGTCTTGCGCACTGCGAGTCCTTCAGAATGCCAGTCAGCATCGAGTGGTCCTGGGTATACGCGCCGCATGTATAGAGAGGGTTGGGTACGTCGCATGGTAATGCATAGAGCAGTGTTATCGCCCCGTCCTCCTCCCCTCCTCCTCTCCTGTCTCCTGTGTTCCCTTCTCCTCTTCTCTCGTGCCGTCGGGCTGCGATATGCGCAACTGTTGCCACTTTTGTCGGCTCCTGGGAGGCCCAGCGGAGGTGGGTCCCACGCGGATCACCTCGGGACCTCGCGTTGCCTTGGGGGCATGCGATTTGCGTAACTGTCGCCACTTTCGTGGGCTCATGGGAGGCCCAGCAGAGGTGGGTCCCACGCGGATCACCTCGGGACCTCGCGGTGCCTGGGGGGCTGCGATCTGCGCAATTGTCGCCATTGTCGTGGGCTCCTGGGAGGCCCAGCGAAAGTGGGTCCCAGGCAGATCACCTCGAGACCTCGCGGTGTCTTGGGGGCTACGATCTGCGCAATTGTCGCCACTTTCGTGGGCTCCTGGGAGACCCAGCGGAGGTGGGTCCCACGCGGATCACTTCGGAACATCGCGGTGTTCTGGGGGCTTGCGATCTGCGCAAGTATCGCTACTTTCGTGGGCTCCTGGGAGGCCCAGCAGAGGTGGGTCCCACGCGGATCACCTCGAGACCTCGCGGTGTCCTGGGGGCTGCGATCTGCGCAATTGTCGTCATTGTCGTGGGCTTTTGGGAGGCCCAGCGGAGGTGGGTCCCACGCGGATCACCTCGAGACCTCGCGGTGCTTTGGGGGCTGCGATCTGCGCAAATGTCGCCACGTTCGTGGGCACTTGGGAGGCCCAGTGGAGGTGGGTCCCACGAGGATCACCTCGGGACTTCGCCGCCCCCTGGGGGGCTTGCGATCTGCGCAATTGTCGCCATGTTCGTGGGCTCCTGGGAGGCCCAGCGGAGGTAGGTCCCACGCGGATCACCTCGAGACCTCGCGGTGCCTTTGGGGCTGCGATCTGCGCAATTGTCGCCATGTTTGTGGGCTCCTGGGGGGCCCAGCGGAGGTACGTCCCACGCGGATCACCTCGGTACCTCGCCGCCCCTTGGGGTGCTTGCGATCTGCGCAAATGTCGCCACTTTCGTGGGCACTTGGGAGGCCCAGTGGAGGTGGGTCCCACGCGGATCACCTCGGCACCTCGTTGTGCCTTGGGGGCTGCGATCTGCGCAATTGTCGCCACTGTCGTGGGCTCCTGGGAGGCCCAGCGGAGGTGGGTCCCACGCGGATCGCATCGGGACCTCGCCGCCCCCTGGGGGGGCTTGAGATCTGCGCAATTATCACCACGTTCGTGGGCTCCTGGGGGGCCCAGCGGAGGTACGTCCCACGCGGATCACCTCGAGACCTCGCGGTGCCTTGGGGGCTGCGATCTGCGCAATTGTCGCCATGTTCGTGGGCTTCTGCGAGGCCCAGCGGGGGTATGTCCCACGCGGATCACCTCGAGACCTCGCGGTGCCCTGAGGGCTGCGATGTGCGCAATTGTCGTCATTTTCGTGGGCTCTTGGGGGCCCAGCGGAGGTACGTCCCACGCGGATCACCTCGGGACCTCGTCGCCCCTTGGGGGGCTTGCGATCTGCGCAACTGTCGCCACGTTCGTGTGTTCCTGGGAGGCCCAGCGGAGGTGGGTCCCACGCGGATCACATCGAGACCGCGCGGTGCCCTGGGGGCTGCGATCTGCGCAATTGTCGCATTTTTCGTGGGCTCCTGGGAGGCCCAGCGGAGATACGTCCCACGCGGATCACATCGAGACCTCGCGGTGCCCTGGGGGCTGCGATCTGCGCAATTGTCGCCATTGTCGTCGGCTCTTGGGAGGCCCAGTGGAGGTGGGTCCCACGCGAATCACCTCGGGACGTCGCCGCCCCTGGGGGGTTTGCGATTTGCGCAACAATTGCCGCTTTCGTGGGCTCCTGGGAGGCCCAGCGGAGGTGGGTCCCACGCGGATCATCTCGGGACCTCGCCGCCCCTTGGGGGGCTTGCGATCTGCGCAATTGTCGCAACTCTCGTGGGCTCCTGGGAGGCCCAGCGGAGGTGGGTCCCACGCGGATCACCTCGGGACCTCGCCGCCACTTGGTGGCTTGCGATCTGCGCAACTGTCGCCACTGTCGTGGGCACCTGGGAGGCCCAGCGGAGGTACGTCCCACGTGGATCATTCGGAGGTACCTCATACGCGTTTCTTTCAACGCCCCTGTGATTCCATGTTGTATAATTGTTGTTCCTCTTCTTGCTGCGCTCTTCTGAAATCATTGTTGGGTGCTCTTCTTGCGCACTGCGGGTCCTTCAGAATGCCAGTCAGCATTGAGTGGTCCTGAGCACAATCGCCCCATGTATAGAAAGTGTTAGGTACGTCACAGGGTAATAGCGCAATCTCTTCACAGCGAGAACATTGCCTCGTGCCGCGGGCGGGCGAATGAAGTTGTCCAAAGTCAGCATCGCCAGATCTGTGGCTGGCGACATGGAGGCGAGAAGTGGGAAGAGGGATGGAGCACGGAGGAGGATGCGACAAGGGGGCAGCAGGAATAATCAGGATGAGAAGAGCGAGGATGGAGGGAGGAAAGGGAAGAAGGGGCAAGGAAGGAGAGGGAGGAGGAGGAGGAGGAGGAAGAGGAGGAGGAAGGAGGAGAAGGAGGAGGAGGAGGAGGGGAGGAGGAGGAGGAGGAGAGGAGGAGGAGAAGAAGAAGGATGACAAGGGAGGAGAAGGAGAAGGAGGACAAGGAGGAGGAGGAGGTGGAGGAGAAGTATCAAGATCATGAGGGGGACATAGCATTCATCGCGCACGTGGCTACCACACCCTACATGTGGGCTCCCACGCGGTATAGCTTACATGAGGCGAAGCGCGCACGGTTACAAGGTGGCTTCCACGCTGAACTCGAACAGTGTGCCAGGCTTGAGTACCCTACCGAAGGGCTTCTGCACACCATGTTTGCGGGACTTTACTTTTTCGTAGCACCACGAACCGCGCGAAGAGCCAATTCACACCAGGTAAGGAAGGTCCTATCACAGCACCCTCAAGTGAACTCGTAGGTTGCCTGCCATCATACGTGCGGTCGGACATTTTGACTTAGCGTGTCGCGCCGTAAGCTCTGACCCACCACGCGTCGGCAAGACACACTATCCACATCCCGGTCCCTGGGCGTCAACGTCCCGTGCTTTTCTCACCCCCCCGCCCCACGGAGCAGAGCGATACGCTACCCACTCGCAGGGCGCGGCGTGTCGCCGGGGCCGCCGCCTCTTTCAGATGGTGCGATGGCTTCTGAGAAGCCCCGCCGCCTTCTGAGCAGGCCTGCTCCTTCTCGCTTCCCCCCCGGGCGCGCTGCCGAATCCAGGAACTGACACTTCGCCCTGGGCGCGAAAGTGGGCGGGGGCAGAAGCGAACGGAAACTCCTACGGACACCAAAAGCCTTCGCAGAGGACTGGCACGACAGTGTACGATCGGGAACATGTGTCCAGCGTGTCGCGCCGCCAATTTTGACCCACCATGCTTCGGCGCAACAGGCTATCCACGTCGCGGTCCCCAGACGTCAAAGTCCGGAGGTTTCCCAGGCCTCCCGCCCCGCGGAGCGGAGAGCGACACGCTATCCGCTCGTAGGACATAGCTTGTCGCTGGGGCCGCCGCGGCGACACGCTAAGCAGAAGTGCCCGACCGTACTCATGCCGCGCGGCACTTGCCGTTCGTCCGGGGAGCCGTTTACCCAGTGCTGACACCCAGAAGTTGCGTGGAGGGAGGAGCCGGGCAGTGCCAGGGGGGGCCACCACAAGGTTCTTGGGAGGGGCACTTCCTCGAGGAAGTGGCGACCGCCCCTGATAGTGAACACGCCGGGCATTGCCTGGCTCAGAGGCTGCGTGGAGGGAGGGGGGGAGATGGTCATCGAGAGACGCCAACGCCAGCGCACCCAGGTTTTTTGGGGGGCGCTGCAAGCGAGGTCACGATTTCCCACGACTGTGGGCTCTCCCGCATCACATGTTTTACAACATAATGTGCCCATATGCAGTTTAGAGCGCCTGGGAGGGATATGGATGTCTGCGATGGCACATGCGAACGAGATGGTGCGCGTGCATGAACTGATTTGAACCCCATGGAGCAGACTGTCGCATCTTACTTGGCAATCTGCAGGCAAGGGAACTTCAGTTTTCACTCCACACAAAATCGAACATCAACCGAAAGACAAACGCATGTTGTTGCCACATGCATGGTGTTGCACCCCAGCTACACCTCCCCCATACAGTCATAGCAATGGCTCGCAAGTCCAAGGCTTCGGGGATCCCTTGCGGGTCCTCAGTGCTCACTACGACAATTCGTTTACGTCAGGAAAGACTTGGATCCACGAGGCTCCCACTCCAAAAAAGTGAACTCGAACGACAGACACGTTTGATCTGCGCGACTCGCACACAAGGAATGGGATTAATCTGGATCCATGCTCCTCCAGTCAAGGGGACAAAACTTTCGGCCTAAATATGTATGTGGTGCAGCCTATGTGGTGCAAGTTGGGTAATGCCAACCCACATCGCCTCGCCTTATCTAGAGCCCAGCTACAAACCAGTGTTGGCCTGTGGACCCGCAGTAGGTGAAGTTAACTTGGCGAAAGACCCAACCATATGCAGGTGCGAGTATCGCAGGGTATGCACAATTCATCATAGGTAGCGCGCCGCGAGGGCGATGGAGCACGGGGCAACGCGGATGGAAGCCCCGAAGCGTGCGTGGGGTGTGCCGAAATGAGTGGGGGGGCGCATGCGGGCGGTGCCATTGGGGCCTTCGTCCAGAGCTCGTTATGGGGCCACGAAGCGTGTGAGGGGTGTGCCGAAATCGCCCGAGGCCGCCGTGCGAAGCTTACCATTGGAGCTTTCGTTGAAGCTCCCTATGGGGCCACGATCCTCGTGAGGGGTGCGCAGAAGTGGCCCGAGGCCGCAATACGAACCCTGCCACTGGGGCCTTCGGTGGAGCTCCCTATGAAGCCACTTTCCTCGTGAGGGGTGTGCTGAAATCGCCCGAGGCCGCCATGCGAACCCTGCCATTGGGGCCTTCGGTGGAGCTCCATATGGGGGCGCCACGATCCTCGTAAAGGGTGTGCCGAAATCGCCCGAGGCCGCCACGCGAACCCCGCCGCTGGGGCCTTCGGTGGAGCTCCCTGTAGGGGCCACGATCCTCGTAAGAGGTGTACCAAAATCGCCCAAGGCCGCTGTACGAACCCTGCCACTGGGGCATTCGGTGGAGCTCCCTATGGGGCAACGGTCCTCGTGAGGGGTGTGCCGAGATGGCACGAGGCCGCTATGCGAACCTTGCCATTGGGGCCTTCGGTGTAGCTCCCTATGGAGCCACTTTCCTCGTGAGGGGTGTGCCAATATGGCCAAAGGCCGCCACGCGAATTTTGCCATTGGTGCTTTCGGTGGAGCTCCCTATGTGGCCACGATCTTCGTTGGTGGAGCTCCATATGAGGCCACGATCATCGTGAGGGATGAGCCGAGATGGCCCGAGACCGCCGTGCGAACCTTGCCACTGAGGCTTTCGGTGGAGCTCCTTATGGGGCGACGATCCTCGAGATGGGCGTGCCGAAGTGGTTGACACGCGGATGGCAGAGGCAAGGATAGGAGGAGGGTGGAGGGGGAGGAGGAGTGAGGAGTGGACACGGGGCGCTGTCTCTTCAAAACAAGGACCCAACACCACATGATGGTTGGGAAAAATCCCGAGCTTGTAGACATGATGTGCAGTGCTAGACGGTCTAGTGGCGGTACCCCCCGTGCTTGCGCTCACAAGCAGGATTGAGCACCGATGATCTAGGGGCACACGCCATTGAGCACCCTCAATCCCCCTCCAAAACACAGACGATACAGCAATGAGCCGAAGCAGTAGACAAGCATAGTTTCTTAATAGCAATGGTTGTGAGAAGAGAGGGATCAGTGATTTTCTCGCGAGGGGGAAGGATCAGCGTGTAGACATCCAGACAAAGGCTGAAAGCATAGCGCTGGATGACATAGTTGGCGTAGTCTCAGACAGGGCCTGTCGCATACCCGATCGTTCACCGTGCACCGCTGCGCATAACCCGAGCGCATCAGTTTGATGGTCGTTTGATTTAATGTGTAGGTTCGCATCCATTTGCGCGGATCGCGCCATGACATGCAACAGTGTTAAAATTGTGGGAGCAGGATGTTTGCCGAAGCTCAAGCTTGTCAACGAGGAGCGCACGTGATGATCACAAGTAGTTGTATCCAGATATGTTGTGATTGCGTGAGCAGGGAAGTTTGCATTATGTTGACTGGCAATGAGTCTTCGCAGTCAGTGATGTCGACTGCCATTGGTGGCAGTTGCCTCTTGATTGTCCCACAGCTACCTAGAAGTTGCCTTTTATATTCCACGCAAATACGTTGCATCGATCTTGACTTTACGTCATGGCTGTTTCGCGCTGTAACCCTACAGGCGTTTTCGCTTTCACCTTGGGAGCCAGATCTGGCAAGGATAACGCACCGGGAGGGAGGGGGGAAACGCGCGGCGCGACACAATGCAGTTGATCGCGTATCGTGGCCGCGAGCGTTATTTCGTCGCCGTCGCTATCACCGCTGTCGCCGCGCCCACAGCGTCGCCCGCCGCGCCGATCTGGGATCAACCTTGACTCCACATTGTGATATCGAGCGTCAGCTGAAGAACGAAATTAGAGCGCTGCGTCCGGGCTCCGCGAACTGAAAGAAGAAATGAGTCTGCAGATAGACCGCCGCAAGGTGGGCTTTCCTCGTTGGTACAGGGATTGCGCGTGGCAGTGCGCAGGCACCTTAAGTAAGTCAAAACACTGTGTGTCAGCATGGCCTGGGCATCCTTACTGGGCTGGCCTCCGGCCAGTGCCGCCGATCCGGGGGGGCTCCGGAAGTGGAATTTTCTATACCCCTTTGTCCCCGGGTATCGAAAAACGTCGGAAATGACGTCGGAAATATCCACGGGTACCGAAAAACGTCGGAAATGACGTCGGAAATAACGTCCCCCCCCCCCGCTGCAGAGCGAAGCTTGAGCGAGCTCAAGTCCACGCTCTCAGAAACTCACACGCCGGATCGGCGGATTTTCGCGCGGGCACCGCGAGCATTCTTTCGTTTGTGCAAGCGCTGCGCATTGAAGTGCGCAGGCATTCACGGTTGCGCTAGCGCAGACACCGCGGGCTTTACGTCTCGTTTGCGCATGCTCTACACATGGGAAGGCGCGGGAGCCGCTGGCGCGCAGAAACGTAGCGCGCAGACATGGCATATGCATCGTTGTTGCAGCGCTGGCACCTCAAGCACGTCAAAACATAGGGTGCGGGCGTTGCTTGGCAAGTTTTAGCTTTGGCACCGCAGGAATTGTTCTTTGTCGGTGAAGGCATGCCTGTCCGCTACGGGGTTATAATGTCATAACATGTGAGGGGGCGGGGTTGGGCGGGCGGCTGGATGGGAGCATCCGCACATTTCGCCCCGCGCGGAAATAAAAAATATGATGGATTAGCAGTTCCCGCATTAGCGACAAGGGAACATCATCCGCGGCCCAAAATTTCGAAATCACACTGGAAAGCGTTTGCAGCACAGCGACTTTAGTCCTTGATTTGTTCGAGCAGTTTGCACGACACTTGTCAGCCTTCGACGCGCGTGCTCTTCCCGCAACGTTTTTGTATCGGCTACAAGTATAGCAGAACCATTTCACTTGATTGGAGTCTCCTACCCTGCGGCCACCCTTAAGTGCTGTTGGCCACGCGAGAGCTTCAAACGACAAAGTTGGATATGTCTCGTAGTTGTGTTGGGATGATGCGGATTTGCTTTTGTATGTGCCAGCCATTATCCACATGATTTGCCGCGCTTGCTGCTTTCAGCTTCCAGCCCTGGACGGCCCTCTTCTAGGGAGCGCATTGAGGGGGTTCTTGTTGCTTGTCGGGGCGTTTTGCATTGTAACAGGGCCATCCCAGGGAGGTTTGCACTGTAACAGGGCCATCCTAGGGAGGGAGTGGTACCTTCATGAAGTCTTGTTACCGAAGACGCTTACGCTGAGTCACCGTTGCCCCCATGCCCTTTTGGAGAAAGGCATTTGTGGCCAGTAGCCGATTTGAAATTCCGTCGATTGTGGTTGAATTTTATGTCTTTCGAGTGTAGTCTGAACACTTGGCGAGACAAGGGGGTTCAGTCGTGATTCACTTAGTTGGAAGTTTGGTTGGACAGGTGGTCGAATGTTTGATTGGTTCGTTGGTCAGCTGGTCGTGTATGGTTGGTTTGGTAATTATGTGGCGTCTTGGCAAGCTGGTTTAGCTCACGGTTATCTGGCTGGTTGTTTGGGTGGCTACTTGGTTGGTTGCTTGGCTGCTTGGCAAGCTGGCTGAGTGGATAGCTATCTTCTGGCGGCTTGGCTGGCTGGCTGGTTGGTTGGCTGGTTTGCAATGTGGCTCGTTGCGTGGCTGGCTGGCTTCCTGGTTGGCTGGTTGGTTGGCTTGTTGGTCGGCTGCTGGACTAGCTGGCCGAGCGGCTGGTTAGCTGATTTGTCGGTTGGCGAGCTTGGCGTGTTGGTTTGTTGGGTGTTTGATTGGTTGCTTACATTTCTCGCTGGTTGCTTTTCTCGTTGGCTGGATGGCTGACTTGTTGATTGATTGGCTGACTGGTTGATGGATTGCCTGTTTGGCTGCCTGGTTGGTTGGTTGCTTGGCTGGCTGGTCGCCTGGTTCGTTGGCTGGCTTGTTCATTGAGTCTTTCCGCGGTTGGTTTCGTTACTTGGTTGGGTAGTTGAGTGGTTGGTTGTTTTCTTAATTTGTTGTGGCGTAAACCAGAGCCCCACCAAGCCCAGAGGACGCTCTGGGAAGGACCCGGCAGCTCCAAAGCAACCCCAAGAGTGTTCACCACGAGGAGAGAAGGAAGAGAATGAGGAGACCGAGGAACACAAGACGACAAAGACAACGACAGAAGGAGAAGCCAGCGATATCGCGCCCCTTTTGTAAGGAAAGCGTCTTCCGTCCCTGGCCGTTGAACTGGCTGGTGATCGACCCAGGGTCATGTTTGCCGTGTCGCCTATTGCACGGAAAAGACGGAGTTGAAATTGCTCGACTAAAACCCGTTCGCAAATTCATCACATGGCGACATGAAAGTTCGTACTGCGCATGCGAAACCATCATGGCTAGGCCAGGGATGCGCGGGCGAAGTACGTCGCATACTTCAGTCCAAGTTGCGGGCAAAGCTCGCAGGTCTAAGCGTTGGGATATGCACCTGCGGCGACATATCATGAACCGTAACGCGAAGCCAGAGGCACAGGCGGATGTAGATCGATGTTGTATGCGGTGCTGGCTGCGGCCTTAGAACGTGCGACAAGGATACACGTACGACATCTCAGCAAACAAGGAAGGAGCGGCAAAGAAATATCCGTTCTTGGTGGCTTCCCTAAAGTTGTTAATGGCAAGAAGACCTCTACATTGTGGGAGCATGCCATGGTGGTTTGGTTTGAACCATGTGCTGACGTCGGCAAATGTTTCGAACCCATGTGAACAAAATTCAGGCTTCAAAAGCAGAGTAGTCGTCACCCCATGTCTTCCCAGCATACATTGAAAAAAACAGGGGATGGGAAACAAAGGGCGTTCTGTTTGGCAGCACACTTCGACGAACCTTGTCATATGCAGTGCGTTGCACGTGCTCGCTTAATGGCATCAGTTCGTCGCGTGCACCGCCCGTTCCGCCAGGAGTCACATGGCGAACCCCAAGTAGAATTTGAAATCGGATCGAGGCCACCTCAAGCACGAGAACATGTCGGCATGTCCGAAGCAAGTATTGACCGCTTGCGCCCACGTACTGTGGGAGATTTCTTGGCGCATCCCGGCAAGAAGGCGAGAAGAAAGGCGGATTGATCACCTTCCTTGTGTAGTATTATGTCTTGCGTGTTGTTATCGTGGTCACGGGGCGGCAATGTGTCCGACAAACATGGTGCTAAATGGTGTGTGTCATTGGTTACGTGATGCACATTGTTGGTACGGATTTTGTGAGTGCGCAAAACGATGCCATGCATGTGCAAGTTTCGACAACATGATTCACGCGTATTTCGGTTTTCCCCACAATGTGATGATTGGCGATCCGATATGGTTCCGGGTGGTGGTCATGGCTTGCGTATTGTCGAAGACGACTACGGCGAACCACCGCCGCCCTTTGTCTTTCGGAAACGCATATATGCCCAGACGTTGGGCCGAAGTCTTGCCAAGCCATTGGGCTCGATGTTCCCCCAGCCGTTGCGGAGGCCCTTTTAGGAACACGTGTGGGAGAAAGAGGGATTTGGAGGAGGAGGAGGAGAAGGAGGAGGAGAAGGAGGAGGAGGAGGAGCAGGAGAATGAGAGGAAGGAGGAAAAAACGCAGGACTCTTGGGGCCTCCTCCTGGTGATCTCTTGGGGGCTTCTGATGGCCTTCTGGGGTCTCTGTGGGGCCTCTTGGGGGCCTCTGGGCCGTCCGAGGCCGTGTTGGGGGCCCCCATCTGCGCCGTCGTGGAGCTCTTTGCGCGCTTGGGGGCCGTCTTGGAAGTCTGTCACAAACCATTTGTGGAGCCGTCTTGTGGGCCTCTTGGGCTGTCTTTGGGCCGTCTGGGAGCCCGAACTAACGAACTATTGAACAGCCGATGGGAAGTCTATGAGTTTGGCCTCGTAACGGTCCTCATTATTGGGGCGCTTTGGGAGCCTACTGGACCGTCTGGAGGTCGGCATCTTGGGCCGTATTGGAGTCATCCGGGGCCCAGTTGAAGGCCATCTTGGCTCTCTTGGGGCCATCTTGCTTGTCTTTGAGGTGTCTTAGGACCTGTCATCTTGAGGCGGAGGGCTCGAAATGTCGGTCAGTGTTCCCTTCCTTGAGGCTCTCTTGGGGCCTCTTGGGCCGCCTTGGGGCCCCCTCGGCCCGTCTGGGGGTCCATTTGGGGGCCTTTTGGGGCCGGCTTGGGGCGATCTTGTGGGTCCTCATGGGCCGCGTTTGGCGGTCAGAAGCCCGAAAGGGTGAGAACGCGAGCATTATTCAAACAGATATTTAAAAACCACTGGTTTCAGCTTCTTGGTCCCTTCCCTGGGGGCCTCTTGCAGTCCTCTCGGGGCGTCTTGGGGGCTTCTTGGGCAGTTTGGAGGCCATCTTGGAGCCATAGTCGGGCGACTCGGGCAGGGCGCTCCTGCACCGTCTTCGGAGCCTCTTGGAGCCCGTCTTGGGGTTCCCTTGGCTTCAAAAAAAACGCGACAAGGCCAAGGAGCGCCTGGAAGCGCACGGAATCCTGGGCTGTCGTTTAATCTGCAGGATTGGCAACAAACAATTCAAGGGACTTGAGGACGCTCTGGCTCGTACCTCAGGGTACGGCGGGGGACGAAATGGACAGCAGGCATTGTTTATGATCGTGTGGCAGGGTTTCTCTTCACGCGAGTTCCCATCAGCACAACGAGAAACAAGTCCTAGGCGAGTTGTCGTAAAATGGAGTTGTAGGAGCATTAGTACAACGCAGATGTGTGCATCAGCTGGGCTGACACAGAGATAGCGCAGCTTCGCTACTCCTAGCTTCTCGTGCCTTGTCCCCACTCTGGTAAGACATAGCACCGTTGCATGTTATTTCGCCTTCTTGCATCCAGCAGGATGCGGCTAAGTGAAGCGTAGTGTATACTAGCTTAGCTTTGCGCAACGCTACAAAAGGTGATCTTAGCTCGGCGTGGGTTGGCTCCACCAACGCATCTTAGCCTGGGCTTCTTGAAACTAGCATGCTGTACAGTTTGTCCTAGCGTAACTTTCCTTGAGATCCTCGCAAGTCTGCAAGAAAGGCAAACTTGGGACCTTCTTGGAGCCTCCTCGAGGCCTCTCGGAGCAATGCTAGTAATGTGTGGGGAGCTGTTGCGACACTCTGTGGGAGCCTCTCGAACCAATGATTTCCGTTTCTCGGGTGCACCCTGGGGAGGCTCGGAAGCCACTTCGAAGTGTCTCGGAGTTTTCAGGGGACCGCCTTGGAGCCAAGCTAGAAGCACATTTCGGCCGTGGTGCGCCATCTTAGAGGCAATTTTGGGCCGTCTGGAGCCATGCTTGGGCTGTATTGGACGCACACACACGTGCGGGGCCCGCCGACGAGTCGCCCAGACTCCGGTCCACGGCCAAGGCAGCATCCCACGAGGGTTGCGACGTCCAGCCTTCCTCTCGCAAGCAGCGGGCCGCATTTGTCAGGAGGGCAGCCTTCCGCGGCGCCTGGAGGCCCAGCACACCAAACCGCTCGGCAGCATGCCGAGTCCGTTGTGATTTTTGGCTACAAAATTGAACGGGTGATGTGCACGAACTGACACGTGCATACACTTCTGACGGGCACATGCTCATATACAGTGGCTCGTGCAGACGGCACGCATTGCAGATGCAGACTCGGAAAACAGGCGGGCTTAGTTCGGGTTCTCCTCTGGTCATTGTGGCAATGTTGCTGGAACAATTGCTTGATAGTGCTGATTCCAGCTTCTGGCCAAGCATTGCACTATTAGTCACAGCGCTAGATGGGTCGAGTTGTCAACTAAGCAGTATTGCACATGGTTCCCTGCCCACTTTCAGATGCCACAACTTGTCAATCGCAACAGGTTCGGCGTGCGTGTGCACAAGCAGGGGGATGTGCGAGCCGGACTTTAGTATCGAATTGCAGCTTTGTGATCGGTGTCACAGGGTCCTGCAGCCGTACCAGATTATACTGCGCAGTCGTCGTTGTTGACATCATCCCGGTGGCTCGCGGAGGGAGGACATAATTCGAGTGTTGCTAGAAGTGGCCATGGCCCAGGGTGGCCCCAGGATTTCCGAGGAGGCCCTGATTGCCTCCAAAGCATCTCATCACGAGGCCCAGAGGGCCCCACGGGCTCCAAAATAGCGCGAAAAGCCGGGGACACCTTGGGCCAGGACCACTTCCAGTAACTCCCGAACAGTTGCCCAATATATGTGTAAAGCTCTTGAGTGTTCTGTGTGCGGCGGCACAGGCAGGTCCATTCAGCAATGATGCCCGAATGTTTGGCAATCCTTTCTGGTTCGAGCATATCCAAGATTGTACGTTTCCATCGTCGTCGGTGGTTGGAGCCGGCTGGGGAGAGAGGTGGACCAGCATTGGTTCCGGCCAGGAGAAAGGGGGGAGAAAGGGGCCCACTCGTCGCCACCACTGGACGCTGCTTGGAAAAATTGTCAGCGTCGACTACGGGAACGGATGAGCGGATTTGTTTTCGACCCCCCTTCATGACCGATTTTCTTGGGGCCCAGCCAGCGCAGACCCTACAGCCGCTTCCAAGTTGTACATTTCTGTCGTTGCTGGTGGGGTCTTTGCAAGGGCGCGTCGGAAGCAAAAAGCCGTTCGCCGTTGTTGCCCCCATGAAGGTATAGGATATCCCAGTCATGCCTTGCTTGCGCACCCCTGTGATCACGATCTCACTAGTGACTCGATGCGCGATCTCTTCGCGAGTTAGAGCAAGGTTTCGACACGAGCCTGCCCGATGCACCGCGAGGTAATACACATAGCAAATTCACGAAGAGGCTTCGACATTGAATGCACCGCTTGAGTCTTCGTTCGCTCCAGTTTAGGCATTTGTTTGCGCCTGCAGCCTGGGCATGACATTGGGCCCATCCTTCACTTGCATGTTCCAAATCCCGCATTCGTTCATTGATTCGCTCCGTTTGCATATTGAGACCACCAGCGGCATCGCGTGATCGATTGAAGGGCAGGTGGAGTAGCAGCGCCCAGAAGCAGCCTTCTCCTCGCACTGGGCAGCGCATGAGGGCCAGATGATTGCTGCATTTAGATGCGCTGGTTAGGCTGAAAGCTTGTCCAAACATACTGCGTATGTCTCGGGAGCGGTCGACAAGAATTGATTCAATGGCAATGCTGCAACCATCGGCTCTACGATAATGATGTGTAATGGCTATTGGTGCATGGTGGCATCTCACAAAAAGAAGGCTCCATAGATTGATCACTACCTGCATTTTCAGACATTGAGTCGACTTGACTCTCATGTAGCAGGTTCGTTGCACGGTCAAGCTGTGCATTGCAGCATGTTTTTAAGATGGGCATGTTGCTGTAGGTGCTGATTCGTTGTTTCACGCTGCCTTTAAAAGCTTGTTGTTGTAACAGTATGCTGAAGAGTGAATGCAAGATGGCATCATTCAAGTCGCCGTCACAGGTCTAGCCCGATAAACATGCGATCGGGCAGAGGTGACTGCAGATTGCGCATCAAGAAACAGAGTAGTGCTTATACCGCGTTGCCTGCCCTGTGGCATGCTAGTGAACGTTTGATTTTGATCGTCGACATACCAACTTGGAGCAATTGGCTTAAAAGATGGCATGTCAGAACGGTATGTTGCATTCAGTGCGTCAGAGCGCCCGCAGCCCAGAAGCACAAAGAAATGGATGTTTGCACTTGTGGGTAGCATAGCGTGCAGCTTACGATTACACAGTCCGCACTGCAGTAGGTCGAGATTGTCAGGGTGTAGGAAGGTGTAAACCACTTGTCATGCTCTCCTGGCACGTGCTCCGCTGGCGGCTGCCACAAAAAGGTGCAGCACGGTTCCGTGACGCACAGAGCATGGAACAAAGCCTCCCTTGGCTGCTACGTCTGCGACGAAGCCGCCACCGTGCCAGCGAGGCACTCTGTGTGGCGACCCCTCTGTGTGTGAAGGCCGTCTCCACTCCCTGAGGACCGACCCTTCACGGGAACCATTTGGGCCGTCTTGGGGATGCCTTGGGCTTCGGAGGGGCAGTCTTGGGGGCCCGCAGGATCGCCTACGACATCGACACCGTCGGGTACGCGACAATTTCAATGACCAGTTGGAGCCGTCGCCGATTTTCGCATAATGCCAGACAAAGTGATATGCTGAACGGTTGCGACATCAGCGCATTCCCTTGTTCGCCTGCATCCCCGTACCAGGCAATATGCGCCTTGACATCGTCGTCCACTTGCCGGAATTCCGATTGAATCTTGTCGCAGTGGCGTGCGAATGGCACCAACCCGGGTAATTGTAGGTTTTGTCGCAATTCGTTGCAAATCCACGCGCGCCTCACAGGGTCGCAGGTGCCGACACGAAGTTCAAGATCATGATTTCCAGTTGTTTTCCAGCGAGGTATTGTAGAAGATGTGCCCGTGCGTCCACTCGACTTCGCTCAGCAAGTCCACAGAAGTGTGGTTGCACAGCACACCGAAAATCATCTTGGTGTTGACGATCAAGACTTTTGGATAGCAACACTCGTAAAGCATCTGCTGGTATTATTCCACGTACTTAGGTTTCGGGATGTGTCAAGTCGTAAACGAAGAAATTATCATAGCGTTCGGGATCGGAAGTGGTATAGTAGCGCAAGCTGTAATGTTCTCCTGGCACACCTTGTAGTATTCGCATCGGGCCTCCGATCATCCAGCGCGAAAGCCTTTTCGTAAGATTCAGAGGTGTGGGCTCGGTATGCCCTCCCTTACGCCAATCGTATGCACCTCTTAGGGAGCAGGGTCCACTGAATTCTCGTGACGAGAGTATTGATCCCGCAATTGGTCCAAAGTGGCCTCTGTGCCAGGTGCCAGCCTTGAAAAGATGAGGACGCGGGCCGCATGGGAGAGTTCACCTATGTCGATAAACGAGCATGGCTCTGCAATCGCAGATTCCTCGTTGCCATATTTTGCTCATCATGTTTGTCTCCAGCACAACCCCTTCCCCGCTGTTGAGGGTAGCGACTCGGTGTCGTGATTCCCGCGTTCCCGGTTCCCCTCCATGTTGTGCTACACGTATGCAAGAACATGAGGTGTTGAAAATGACAATAAATTGAACATGCTCAAGCTGCAGCGCAATCACGTTCACGCCTTGCATTGTAGCCAGGTTGTGCGTAAGAACCCGGAGATGTTCATCTCGGATACGCGTTGGCACAGCGTTGAGGGGGAGATTTGAGTGTCGATCTCCGCGGTCAGTTGGACGGCCCCGAGATGTCAGCAACCGTTCGGGGGTCCCGCTACGATTGGGGTAAGTCAGGGGGCTGGGCCGCAACCACCACCAGCCGAAGGTTCAGCCTCTGGGGCTGGGCGGGCGTCGGAAAACGATGGATGCGGTTGGGAATGGTACAAAACTATGAGCAGAAACTACCTCAGCGAACCATGTTGGCGCACATTGTCCGCCGCAGCTACACATGCCAATTCCAGATTTGAGACACCCGCAAAAGTTCCAATAGCCGATAGCCGATAGCCCATTTGGTAATATTTCGTTGTATGTCGGACTGTTGGTAACCATCGTTCGTAATAGCTTTGAGTAGTAGTTTTCTTTCGCGTAAACACTGTCTACCCCAAGTGTGTCGTGCATGATCTTGTTTCGGAGTTTGAAAACAAGCCTTGGATTGCGGAAGTGACACCGCGCAGCCCATGCAGACCGGTACCGGAAACATTGACCGCAACGCACAATTTCAACAGTAGCGGAGATCCCCATGTTTGTTTTTTGTCGTTGCAGATGCCGCGGGGACGATTGAGTATGGCCAACAATGTTCTCGCAGTCGACCGACAACACGTCCTTTCGATTTGTTCAAAGGAACTGTACCCGATAATCCAATAGTTCGCGCATGCGGCGTATAGCTCTCCGGATCGTCGTCGGCGTAAAGCCACGGAAATTTGTAGGGGGCTTGGCATCGGCGGATGAAGATCAAAGGAAGGGCACTACCTTTGGGGCCGGGTACCAAAGAGCTTCAGCTTGTTGATGAAACAAGGTTCAAGCTTCTGAGACCTGATCTTAAGATGACCCTTCAGATCCCAAGCCATGCGTCGTTCGAGCGGGCATCGGGAGTGCAAGGCCGTCCTGTTCACCCACGCCCATTCCGCGTGTCCGCATTGCTGCCAAAGCTTCGTCAGAAGCTGGCGTGGTATTGTACGCGTCTAGAAAATGCGGAAGGGCAGAGACAGATTGGCGTGGGATGTGGAGGGTGTTCGGACGGATTTGGGGAGTTGGGGCCATTGGATCAGCAGTCGGAGCCAGAGCTCATGTCGTCGGAAGCGCATGTGCGTAAGAAGTTGGATGGACATGGGGTCGGACCGACAATATGAGTTCTTGGTGTGGGATAGGATTCAAACAGGGAGACGCCCTAACTTAAGCACGCGAATCGTTTCGGTCACACTGTCCTGCGCAGATCGTGAGTTGCAATTTGTCCAATGCGTCGATACACCGGCCAATGCGAGGCGCGTATTGTTCAAATTGAGGCGTTGCGTAACAAGGTTACTTTGGCTGGGAAGGGTATGGGAACTCCAGTCGGGAACTGGTATGGGTTTGAGTCTAAAATTTGAGATGGAAATTTGGGGGTCATAGTCGGCGAAGGATTCGTTGTTGTGGTTTTCTGACGGGAAACGGAAATAGGAGCTTGAGGTGGGAGCATCGGATTCGAAGTTAGGGTTGAAGGCAATGGTGGCAGTCTTGGGTGGCAAGGTTCCCCAGTACGCAGTCTTGAGAGCGGTGAGTTTCGAGATTGTCAGATATATATATATATATGTATATATGTATGTATGTGTGTATGTATGTATGTATACTTATAATTACATAAATCAGCACCCCACATCGAATGCGTGCCCAAAGCTGTGCAGCTGATTGGAGACATGAGCTGTCAATTTCCAAACGTATTGCCAGCGCGTTATCACCGACAGATCCGTACACCACACATCTTCGATTGCTTCAAGATTGTGTGCTAAAGAACCACGCCCCGTACCACAGTACAGGCACCGTCGTGGTCTTCACAACGGCGTGGACCGCGCAGAACATTCTTCCCACGCGCAATCTCCATGGTGTCCACTTTTGCCGAGCACTACATGTTCCAATCACACTCATCCAGCATCTCTAAACGTAATCAAATTTACAATCAAACACCAGCATTCGTCGGACCATTGCTGGCCATCCATCGCAAAAGACGTTGGTTCGAAGCCCGCCGTAAAGATATTGGACATAATTGAAATGTTTCGCGTAACCCCACCAGCCCATCCAGAAACGATACCCAGGTTTGTTGTTTTGATCAGGCAGGTGATACAGCACACACTGGAATAAAGGTTGGCAAGCCACCATACCCTAAGAGGGTGAGGATAGAAGGGGAACTGGAGGAGCAGGAGGAGGCAGAGGAGGAGGACGGAAAGGGGGGAGGACGGAGGAGGTAGACGGAGGAGGGAGGAGGAGGGGTAGGCGGATGAAGTCTCTCGAAAGATTGTAGAGTTGTTGGGGGGCCTTGGGGGCCTCTTGGCGGCCCTGGGGGCCTCGTGAAGCGTCTCGGGTGCCTCTATGTAACCTCTCGGGGATCTCGCGGGAGCCTTTTGGTGGCATCGTGGGGGCATCTTGGGGCTCTGTTGGGGCCGCCTAGGCCGCCCTGGCAAAGGGTTTTGAAGAGGCGTTTTCTGGGCTTGCAGCCTCCCCAGGCATGCTATCCAGGGTCTTTGCAGGCGTCTTACACACGCTTGTCACGTGCTTTCGACCCCCGTCGCTATCCGAGTTTGAGACGCCACAAGTTCACAGGAGCGGCTGCGAAAATGCTTGCCCGGGAGCCTTGGACAGGGGTTGGGGTAGCCTTGCTTGCCCGTTTCTTATCTGAAACCCTCTTGTAATTCTCCAAGGGGCTATCCGGGAAATACGCGTGCCCTTCGCAGTTCCCTCGAAGCTTGCTGTTCGAAGCTTGCAGGCTCCCCGGGAATGCTTCCAAGCGCCCTCGCAAGCGTTTCCCACAGGCGTGTTCTCAATTGGGGGCCGGCGGTAAACCGTCAACCAAGTTACCGCCGGGTCCCTCGTAGAGCTCTGTTCACGCGGATAAGTGCTCAGATTGTCAGACGGAAGTTTCTTCGGAACTCAGCCGGAGAATTCGCAACATACATTTTTGGGGTTTATATTCAGTCGGTACCTCCACGTCTTTTGACAGTAGTACTGCAGCTACGGACCTGAGAATTCGACAGATGGACGCGGCATAACCCACTACACGTGAGAAAAATATTGGTTCTCAAAACGAATCTTCAAATCTTTCACAATCTTCGCCCAACCGATCCAAAGTTTCCCAATTGTCCGCCCGGGCCGGGTGGGCCAACTAGCTCCACCCCGCGCCGGAATTCCTCTAGCTCATCGATGCCGAAGATCTCCACGAGGTACTTTGCAAGCCCTCGAGGAATGCTGCCCTACGTCGTTACCAACGCCCCCCATCCATCACAGCAGGTGTTGTTGGAACTCCTCCGACCTGAGCAGGTTCCCAAATAGTATTCTGACTAAAAAGGCTTCGGATTTGAAGCCGGCAGGCAGGGCCACTCGAGCCTAATCCAAGGTTTCCGGGCAGGCATGCTCGCGGCAATTTGCTTGAGTTCGCAGCGTGTCCTCTCGGTGCTTTGGACTGCGCCGCTATCCGGGTACCTCGTAGAGCTCTT